TTTTTTTTTTTTTTTTTTTTTTTTTTTTTTTTTTGCACAATCTGACTCGGGAGAGCCTACGAGCAAGAGCAAGCAAGCAGTTGATGAAGTGTATTTATAAAAAATACTATAAATCAGAACAAAACAGAACAGAACAACAATAGAATACAATAGATTTTCTGAATATATAGGTTCTCCCAATTTAGGAATGGTTGTCATTAAAGAGAAACACCTCTACACTGAAGTGGCCGATCTCCAAGTTTTCAAATACATTTTAGACTGCTATTTTGTTTGTTTCATGAACACCAATTATAATAACGCAAGACTGTATCAGCTGACGAAATGAGCCAATAGGAAGAGGTTTTGCACTGGTGCTTACTAAACCTGACCAATCTCGTTTTGATCTCTTGTTTTTTGATCTGTTCCAAGTCATTTGTTTTCATAATGAATTATTCATCGGTCACCGGTAAGTTACTTGTAAAGGTGACAACATGACCCTGTCTATGTTAAACCACTTGGATCTTTTGGGACCAAAACACGACCACGAACTAAGCCAAAGTAAATCTTCCGATACATAAGACACTTTCACGATAATCTTTTCACATCGAGTAATGCACAAAATTGGATGAAGATGGGTTGTCGAAGTTTAAAGCCTCTTAAAAAGGACAAATCTCAGACGTTTCAAGCAATCAACAAAGATCTTCTGCCGTTCAAGGCCTTCTATTTCTTTTTTCTGAGTGGATTTGGCTCGTTGTTTCCTTATTTGCCAGTTTATTTTCGACAAATTGGACTACCTGCAAGTCATGTGGGATTGCTGATAGGCTTGAGACCTATCGTTCAGCTTGCAAGCGCCCCATTTTGGGCCATCATGGCTGACAAATACAAGAAACGCAAAGCTATTCTGGTTATGTCAATATTAGCTTGGCTTGTGATGACTTTAGCTATGGCTTTCGTTGAGCCCACTGATGGGATCTGCGAAGTGCGAGCAGAGAATGAAACCACATCAAGATTCGTAAATTATACAAAGATTAAGACAGGGTTCTTCCGACGTTCGTTTCCTGAAGAAGAACAAGAGAATGTGTTGGAACAGCGGAGTGCAGACCTCGCTGCAGCTTCAATTATGAAGCAAGTGTCTTCACAAGATGCGTTAAAAACAGAGCTTCATCTTGCATCTTTTCAGAACGTACTGGAAATTAAAGATATATCGAAGCCAAATCATCCAAACGTGGTTTCCACGAAAACAGGACAAACAGACACCAAGGCAACCTCAGACTTGGCTTCCTCATCACCACCAAACTTTTCAAATGACAAAAATATTTTTCGTGTTGATAAAAAACCATCTGATCCAATCGATATTCAACCTGACTGGAAAAATGATCAAAAGAAACTGAAAAGGAGTAAAGAAGGGAATGTTGGAGGGTTTGGCAATAGGAATCAAAATCCACAAAATAATCACATCGACCAAAACAAGAACGCAACAGGAGACGCTGTGTCACAAGTCAATAATAATTCTACCATCACAGATAAAAAGTCAACATCACGTTTTGAAAATTACAATGGTTATCATTCCAAAACTCAAAGAACACTACCAAGACTTTTAGCTTTTACGAAAAAGGCGATTGCAACAGACTTCCAAAGTAAAACGAGGAAAATTCCAGGTTTTTTAGTTGCGAATGTCAGTCAAGGGGACAGCAAAAGTGGCAAAAAAACAGGTGCCAATTTGACAGAGATTAATAACCAGCACGATTCTACGAGCCAGAAAGAAAAAAATCTTCATCAAGAAGATGCTATGCTCCTTTCGTCTCCTCGTAAGACAAGGCACAAAGTAAGAGGAATTGTAGTTCAATTTTCCCAGGGAGATTTTGATAACTCCCATTCTACCAAGGAACAGAACGTTCCTACTCACATGGAATCTGGAAACAAAGAGGTTGAGAGTGGAAGTGCAGAAGTGGAAGCGTCTGGAAGTCACGATGGAGAAACATTGACCACCAGTTACACAGAAAACGTCAAAGATGCTGCACAGAAACTTAAAATACAAATCGCAAAAAGTGTAAACTTTTTAAGTAGCATGGCTGAAAATTCAAGCAAAAGTCTTCTTCATCAAACTATAGCGATGTTTTCACACAAAAATGCAACAATTCCAACTAATTCAGAAGACCAAAGAAATACTTCACAACTTTCCAATGCATTCAGAAACTTAATCAAGTTGAGCCAAAAGTATATCTCTTCAGAGGTCCCTGCTGAAGGTTCAGCAGAGGGTTCCTCTTCTCTCCACACAAAACACGATTTTACTAGCTTGGCTCATTTGATGCTTAACCAAAAGGATGACTTAAAAGACTTGGACAATCTCCATCAAGAAAAGATGGGAAATACCAATAAGGATGTTATTCATCATAACGTTTTGCCCGATCATATCTTACAATACAGCCATAGTAACAAGACAACGGTATTACAAGACGATAATGTGCAGGAAGAAGTTACATCTGGCTCTGGTATGGGAATCCTACGAGAGTTGGCGCCTCCAACTTCAGAATCTCCAATCAGCCAATTTAAAATAAAGTTTATAAATGTCCTAAATTCGAACAAACTAGAAATGAGTCGGATTTTTACAATTTTGCTCATCATAGTGGTAGTAGGAGAATTTTTAGAGTCGCCGTCTTTTACATTAACTGACGCTTCACTTCTCGAAATACTCGGAGAAAACCGACGATTTTACGGAAAACAGCGATTGTGGGGCTCGATAGGCTTCGGAGTGTGTTCGTTTATAGCCGGTCTTTTGCTGGAGCGTTCGGGGCATGTTGTTTGTGGTGAACAGTATACGGATTACACGATTTGTTTCTGTTTTTTCGGTATCCTGATGTTCCTGACTCTTTTCGTTACCACCTCGTTTGACTTCCATTATAGCGACGTACAGTCTAGTAGCGCCAGTGTTTTGTCATCTTTATGCAACCTGCACTATGGATCGTGCCTTCTAGCTGCTTGTGTTATGGGAATAGACTTCAGTATGTGTCATAACTTTTTAACCTGGTTCTTAGATGATCTTGGAGCCACTAAGTCCCTAATGGGCCTGGCTGTAGTCTCACGCGCATTTGCAGATACAATTACATTCTATTTCGCTGGTTCAATTATCAAAGCTATTGGTCAGATTCGCGTGATGATCATGGTGTTCATATCGTATACTGTTATATTACTTACATTATCTATTCTTCATAACCCTTGGTGGGCAATACCTGTTGAGATTCTGGACGGGATTACGTATGCAATGGCATGGTCAGCTTGTACGTCTTATCTTGCTGGTGCTGTCCCTGCTGAGTCTGTGACAACTTTACAAGGTAAGCCTTGAGGTGAATCAGAATCCCACCCTTATGCCTATTAAATGATTTTTAATTATTCCTAAGGAAATGAAAACAAAGAAACCGTGGCTAAAACAACACAGAGGTCACGTACCCTCCAAGATAAAAATTTCACTGTAATAGGCCCCGGAGAGCATCTTGCATATGGACTCCTTTCCTCTCCGGAAAACGACCAGAAACCACAAAAAAAAAGTTAACCACTACGACCACTAATGCCCAATTAAAAGCTAGTTAAGTCTGAGGTGTCCTTTGGGGGGGGGGGGGGGCACCAAGGATTGTCCCTAAAACCCGCAGGGTCATCCTAATTTCATTTAGAATGGGGACTTGATATTTTAAAACATACCTCATGATCTTAACAACCATGTATTCATCAGGGTGTTTTGTTTCTTGACAGGGATCCTGCAAGGCATCTACTGGGGCCTAGGAACAGGGTCCGGTACCATCACAGGAGGTTACCTCATCCATCATATCGGTGCCGTCTCTACCTTCCGCATGACTGCAGCTTTTACATTCTTGGTTTGTGTTCTGTTCAGCACAATACAGTGGAAATGGACCAGTGGAACAGCTAATGAATACCCACAAACCAAATATACTTACTTGCCAGCAGTAGAGAGTAAAGATACTGAAACTCTTCTGAGAGGATATGAATTACCGAGGGACAAAAGAAGACACGAACGGACAAAAACTAAACTGAATAATCCTTACTGATCGATAGCATCGATATCTTTTATCGCAATCATATGCCTTTCCTGAAATAAAAAAGAAGGTGCATTATGGTCTAGCTTTGGTACAAGCATCTTTCATTCATATTGCCTCATATGGTGTTGTTTATACCAAAGCCAGACCACAATGCATCGTGTTTAACGAAGTTAAGAAAGGTGTGCGCACTGATCAATGTCTTTTATAGGATACAGACAATGATTGCACAACCAATATAGATTTAACTGGCTATCAATGTCATTTCCACGAATGGAATTTTACCACCTGACTGAATAAAATAAATAAACATGAATATTAGATGAATTAGGCATTAAGGAAAGTGCTTGCCCTTCACTGAAGGCTATTTTTCTCCAACGAAGGACTAACGTCCGAAACGTCAGTATATACATATATTATGTCACCATATTACTCTACACGTATAAGAAATGGACCCCTTCACTGTAGCAATTCCAAAATTGCAGCTCAATTTGTATATATATGACAATATAATGAAGGCTCGGTATTCCACAGCCGTTTGTCTTCTAAAATACTCCCATTTCGAGTTCCCTCAGTCTTAGCCTCGAATATTAGTAGAAATGTGTTGTTTTCTTTTATTAAGGCCCATTGTATAGTAGGGGAATGTACGTCCCGTACCCAACAATCATGAATGTTAGATCTTATTAACCGAGCGGGAGGTCTGTACGGGATAATCTTGACCGAGGTCTGTACCCGACCGAGGTCAAGATTATCCCGTACAGACCGACCAAGCTCGGTTGATAAGAGTTTTATTATATGACCACTTTTCATTGAAAAGGACAAAATGTTTTTGCCGTAAGATTAATATGCGATCGGACCGGTTAATACCGGAGAATCTAGACCAGTCCGCGATGCGATCTATCCAATAAGATTGCTCGATTTGCTAGTGTCCAGTCTCTAAGATTCACGGTCATATAATAAAAGTTAATACAAATTCCACGGGTTTTGGTTAAATAGCTAAGTATTATAACGCACAACCGAGACTAAGGCGGAGCAAAGAGAACTCGAACTGAAGTCTAGACCCCCTTTCACCGAGTCCCGAGAGGAATCGTTCTGGCACAAGAAATTAAGACACGGCCTATTGCTTTGTCCCTCAGAACAATTCCTCTAGGAAATCAATGCAAGGGATCCAATGAGCTGCACTATATGTCTCTACCTCTGGAGTACATCATATACTGTAGTAGTACCAAAAACCTTTCAAAAAGTCCCATATTTCATTGAATGGCAAAGTAATATGCGGACGTCAATTACTGACAATAACTTTTTTTCAAAATTACGCGACTAGAATGAGCCAAAATTGGCTCCCGTCAAAATAAAAATGTTCAATGGTCTGAGTTGGTAGTAATGCATAAACAAAAGGGTAGCCTTAATTACTGACACCCTTCAAAATTACGCGACTATGTGACGAGTCAAATATCAGGACGGATTTTGGCTCCCGTCAGACAAACGTTGAATTGGTCTGAGTTGGTAGTTTTCTGAAGAAAGGAAGTCAAACACAAAAAAACTAGATAGTCTATTATTTGCTTGTTAGATATTATGAAATGTGTGTAAACAGCAGAGTAGCCGGTATCTTTGAGTGTCGCCTTAAGCTTTGTTATAAAATAGGTCCAATATTCAAAGATGAGACCAGTTGTAGCCTGGAAGAAACTTTCAGTTCACTCGACTGTATCTTTCATTTGCATGTCACGGTATACTTAGCAATCGGTGCTAACAGTCCTGTCAAGATTAATGGAACAGTGCACCTAACATTGAGAAAAGCCCCTAGATAACCTTAGCTAATGAGTCTTGGATGATATCGTCTTAATATAATTTTTTAATGCTTTATTATAACCTTATAATCTATATTTATAAACAATAACATAGAAGTATACAAGTAGAAAACGGCTGGAATCAGAGAGAAATGGCCTCATGGGTTCCAGGCAGCGTCTGTACCTGTAGAAGAACTCCTGAACTAAATCCCTTCTGTGTGATCAAACAAAAAAACTTTGCTTTCTAGTATAGAAAAATAAAGGTTTTCCTGACTTTTTTCCATCGATTCATTCCCAACTGAGGTAAGAGATTTGCTGCAAGGGTTCCGTATAGTTTTTATCGAGTCATTAGTGTCGAATAGCAAATATTCGATGAATAAAGGATACGGAAAATTAAAATTATTATATGTGACGTGTTCTGAAGGAGAACACAACATCTTAATGGACCAGGAACCCCGCCTTCCATTTCATATGATGTTTTCCCATATTTTATGAACTGACCATGTGTCATTCTATTGAAAATAAGATTCTGTGTTTGAGTCGTATCCATAGTCATGTGTCTGTCTCATGAAATGATACTCTAGGGAATGGCACGTAGTCTGACTGGGCAAAACAATACCGACGCCGAAGCTAAAGAGATTTATCGAAATTCGGCCTGAATACTGTACTGGGACCCATCACATTGTAGTGTTATTTCCAGTTTCTGTAACATGTATTACATGAATAACCTAGGAGTAATACTCTTCTCCTTCTGGACGATATATTTAGCTTATCATATTACATTAAATTACAAACTACTAAACAACAAGGCATTTACAGTCTTTCTTCTTAGGTCAACAGCTCGCTATCTGTGCGACTCAAGCACTCTAGATCCTCCCTGGCAACAAGATACCTCTTGCTCCAGTAGACCTATCCCGAATTCGCTTGACTGACCACGAAACAATGGCTTGAAGTCGAGATTGAACTTGATTCTTTTATTCATCAAGTTCAACCTCGACTTGAAACCATTGTTTCGTGACCAGTCAAGCGACTGATTCGGGATAGGTCTATTCAATCATCCTTCTCCATATGCATTTCTAATCGCGGGACCTATCTTTCTTTAGCTTGAGGGGCAATGGTTCCCTTAACCATATTATTTCAGGATATATAATATGTTGTGCAGGACAATTTTGTGAAATTAATAAAAGTCAATGATTAATGCATTTTTATCAAAGTTTTCCTTACTGTTCGTTTTTACTGGATATCATAAGCTCTTCCTCGTCATAAGCCTAATCCATAGCAACCGGTTCGTATTGGGAGTCTTTACGTTTTTTTCTAGCAACACAACCGTCAGCTATTGGGTAAAAAATTAATAGGATAAGGAGAAGTACAAGCGAGGCGAAGGCAAAGAACTGGAACGTTTTCTGTGATCCTACAGTATGGTACAGGTGCCCGCTAAGGATTGTTCCTCCTCCATTACCAAGTCCATAGAAAATTGCTTGGAGAATTCCTGGAAAAAAAGCATTACAAGATTTTTTAATTATTAACCGTATATAGAGTGACTTTCAGTTTGACGGATAGTCTTACCTTGCATAGTTACAACGGCACCTATCGGAGCACCAATAGTACTCATGTAGTCGATACTGTTAGACCAAACCAGACCATAGATCGAACCRTCAAGAGCTTCCAGAAGTACAGCCAGCCATGGTGACTCGATCACAGAATACCAGTAGAAACATGCGGCATATGACACCAGACAAATGGCCATCGTGTTTAGATTGCCAAGGAAGCTCACGCAGACTCCGCCACAGAAGAAGAAAATCATCTCCCCCAGCTCACGGGCTGCACCAGCTGCTCCCATCACTATMGMAGACCCTCCTTTATCGTCGATATACCAGTTAACGAAATGGAACAATAATCCATAGCAGCATCCAGTGAATATGATCGCTATCATGAAGATGCAATGATTGGCACAACACAATTCGTTCAGCGCTTTTCTGAATGATGATTTGTGATGCTCTTCGTTTTCTTTAAAAGAAAACCAATACGAACAGATAAAAGCGCAAGACACAAAACCAAAATACACGTAAAATATAACGTCATAATTGGGTTTTAAAAGTCCACAGAGAATAAAACTAGTCTTGAAGATAAGATATCCTACTATAGCAGTAGAGATGGCCCATCCTATCGCTCCCCATAATCTGATCCGTCCATAGTAGCTTCGATCGTCTGCAAGCCTATTGAGTAGAGATGCGTCAGAAAGCGCGTACGTAGGGGATTCTAAGAATTCTGCTATAACGATAATCATGAGAAAGATCCAAAACATATAGGTTATTTCTTCATCRTCTACTTGTGTTATGAAAGATACGGTCTGATTGAGGCTGTGAACATAATGCTTAACCGTAATAACGTTAGATATTGTTCTCTTATAATTCATTGTCTCAAAAAGGATGCGGTCTGATCCAAGTCTACTCGAGGGATATTTGGAACGAAAAATCTCATCCCGGTGTCGAWTGTTCATAGTTTTWTCAACGAATTCCTTTCTTTTCTGCTGTCTAGACATCTGTGATCTCTTGGCCGGTTTCACAGGGTTTTCCACTTGGACGAGTTTGTTCTTCGGGACAAGATTCGGTTTTCCAAGACTCGTCACGAGTGTCCATTCATGATTTTGGCTTTCACGTGGCCTCCATAAATCACTTGTATACACACTTGTCATGTTATTAGTAGAATTAGTATAATTCTCGACACACAGCTGTTTGTGAGGAGTGACGAAGAGAAGGATCAAGGCTTTGATCAGCCATGCTAATACACCACACATCAGGACAATCCTCTCTGCCTTGAAGCGCTCTCCAATTGCAGTCCAAAATGGTGCTCCAAATAACTGGATGAGTGGTCGAATACCAACTATACTACCGGCCTGGAAGCTCGTCAAACCATATTGCTTGAAATAAAGAGGTAGGTAAGGATAGAATGATCCAAAGGCACCATAGAAAAAAAAAGAAAATCCTTTGTAGGCAAACAAATCTCTCTCTACCAAACATTTGAACAAGTTAGCTTTTTCAACGGCTTCTTGCTTGCTTTTGTCAGACTTCATATTTCCCCAATAACACGCGCGTTAAAAATTGAGCCAGTAATGCACTCCGAGCCTGATTAGAAAGATTTCGACTAAGTGCAGTCTGTCTTACTGATTTCTCTCCAGATATTTACCGTTTGACTATACTGCTGAACCGTATCAGGACTTTCCATACAATCCTTGACATATGCAAATCTAAAATTCTTAATTAGAGTTTCAGTTTTGAGCGTTAGAGCACTGTTATCGGCGGAGATTAACTAATATCCTATTGTTTATTACAGCTCCTTCACCCTAGAACTACTGGAATCTCTTGGGATTTCCTCTTTCTTTATGCTGATAATACAAATAAGCCTTAGCGTAAAATCTTGTAAATCAATGATTTTTTTCCCCATTAGAGTCTAATCGCCTAGATTATTTTGCAGGCATATACGGACCATTTAGAGCTCGTCCGTTATGGTCGAACGCTATTTCACATTCTTCCTTTTTTCTGAATAAATCAAAAACTATGTAGCATGCACTTAACATATAAATCAAAAACTATTCATTTTGCTGCGAAACAATAAGTTGAAAACTGACTGAAAAATATACGGGCGAGAGCCAACCTAAACTCGCAAGCAAGATTGACCATTATAAGCGGGTTTAGGTATACTAAATAAAAGAAGAATTTGCAATAATAAACGATATATAGAGTATATTATGTTGATAAACTTTATTGTTTTGTAGACTTTTGATCATAAAGTACGTGACATCAGTGTGATATCAGCAGGCATTTCCGATATGACTGACTAGGCAAAAGTGATTGAAGGTCATTTTGTCTCACTGCGGGTAGCATTTGATTTCCGCTGTGATCCAACCAACCAAAAAAACAACTTGCACCAAACAAAGACTACAAGATTTCACTTGGATCACTGTTTGGTGTTTGCTTTCGTAGATTTGGCGACTGGAATGAGGATTAAAATAAAAAATAAGAAGAAGCGCAAGCCATTTTTTCATATTCTTGGATCTTGGCAGTGACCTTTTTCCTATCGCTAGCATTCCCGAGAGGAATTGTTCTGGGCGACAAAACAATGGATTTTCTTTTTTACATAAGAAAAGACGGCTTATCTTTTTGTCCCCTAGAACAATTCCTCTGGGAAATCAATGCAAGAGGTCTATCGCCAATTGGCTCACGAAACGAGCTTTTTAAAAATAGGTGCATATACATAAAGACTTATACGTAGTTTCATGGTAGTCATGTTGAAGAACAGGAACATGGTAATGTTTTTCCTTGAAAAGCCGTATGACTTTTCCCCGGCTTCTCTTGTTTTGCCCCCACAATATTGGGTAGCCAAGAAACCAGGGTCCCTCATCTTCCTTAAAGGTTTAGATTTTGCAAAAAATTGATGTTCGAGAATTAGCATTCAACAGATTAAAATAGCCGTTATCACTTACGAACAACACTCTGGGCTAGTCAGTATTTGATGAGACTTTCATAAGCTGTGTGCACTGAAGGTCCTCCGGTATTGATACTAGCTGTAGACTAAATGAAAGCAGCGGTAAATGGAAAAGGAATGGAAATCCAGTATCAAATAGGCCTCTTCTGAGTTCGATAACAAAAACAAGATGGATTGTGTTCTATAGCCCCAGTACAAACAACACCCCATGGTGAACATAAGATGTTTGTACCACTACCGAAGATAGACCACAATGCGCAGATTGTTTGCGGTCCCAGAAACAGTCTACAAACTGAAGTGAGCTCAATATGTGCTTAGAGATGAAATAGCTATTAAACTCTGTTTAATAAACACTGCTAAATCCCATTTATTATTATCTATTATAATATGAGATGCGCGCAGCAGTACTGCCCTGTTGGGTGGATTAATTTGTTAATCATCTAAACTAGACCATATCAATTAGATGAACTAAGCAAAATCGATAACCTGTGGAATGATATGTTTAAATTCGAAGCCCATTAAAGTAATGGGCGTATTATATTGAAGTATACAAAAAAGAAAACGTGCGGGCGTGTGCCTGTGAGCAGTTATTAAGCATGTGGGTGTTGGCAGAACACGAGAAAAGAGTTAGGAAGAGCACGACGCGTAGCGGGGCTTCTCAACACTTCTTGAGTGTTCTGCCAATCCCCAAGTACTGTGTAACTGCACACAACACAGCAAGCATTTTTCTTCTTCTATAAAATAGTAATTAAAGTAGCGGTTATTTTGGATACAAATGACAAAAAAGAAACTGCGTTCGTGTGCTGTGGGCTCTCATAAGTATACTATGAACACGCTCAGATCGCAAAATTAATAACAGTTATTTCATGAAGTCTAACAATGGTGCATACGACTGATTGTACAACTGAAGAAGCCTGAACACATTTTGGGTTTAAAGAAAAATGTACATTTACTAATTTGAAGTAAAATTAACAATGTATAAAACAGATGCTTGTTGAGAGAGTCCGGAGAGAGAGAGAGAGAGAGAGAGAGAGAGAGAGAGAGAGAGAGAGAGAGAGAGAGAGAGAGAGAGAGAGAGAGAGGACGTTCGCATTGTTTGTGCGCACTATCTGCGCTTATGGCTTGATGTGTGACGTAGGGTTTTGAAGATCAATCTGACCGCCATTATTCATGATTTTTATTATAATAAATTGAAAAAAGAATTGAAAAAGCTTTCAATGTACGATATTTGGATAAAAAATAAATTAAAAAAAAAAAACGTATTCGGATGAAAACTTCAAAGTATGTTAAGGCCAAAAAGTCACTGAATGTTGCTTGATGGCTAAAAATTCGAGCTAAAACAGGATACAAGTTGTTTGTACATGAATAGCCAAATACACATGATATTATTTTATCATCGGTTACAGATGGTTGTTTCAAGAAATGCTTGGCAATCCATTTAGCTTTTCTACAAAAAAATGACTAATGGATCCTCAAGCAAACATGAATTTTTGACGAGAAAGAGGTCACACTTTGATATCATCTCACTTCCAAGTGATTTCGAAGACCCCCATCGAGCTTCTATGTTGATATTATTCCACCATGCGACGTTTGAGGAAAAAACATTCATGGGAAATGGAATCGTCCTCAAGCGTCCTTAAACCTACGACCAACGTGGCGAGAAGCGGTGATTTGGTTCGTGGGCGAATATGCTTCTGGGTCAAAGGCGCCTTTAGAAAATGTTTTCGATAATTATAACAATATTGACCTGATTATGATAAATCATGTCAATACCAAGTGAGATTCATAACACGCCTTTCTGTCTCAAGTATATATTAGTATTCTTTAGCCGATTCTTTATGCAAAGACATTGAAACAGTGATTATACGTTATATATCTGATTACCTGGGAAACGAATCTGGAATGACACAATGTTGTCGTATAGGCATAATTTGTGTATATTATTTGTGAGTATAAACGAATTTTGCGAACCCTGAGGTCTCTCTACTAAAGCGTAGCGATTGTTTTGAAGCAATATTCAGAGAGACTTTTGATATTCACATTGCACACGTCACTCTAAAGGACACAGATTTTCGTGGACTGTTTCAGAGAAAGAATAGGTCTCTTGATGCAATCGAAGATGGACAAATCCACTGGAAAAAAGACGCGTTCGTTCAAATGTAACGTAGAGAGAGATTTGTTTGCTTACAAAGGATTTTCTTTTTTCCTTTATGGCGCCTTTGGTTCATTCTATCCTTACCTACTTCTCTATTTCAAGCAATATGGTTTGTCGAGCTTCCAGGCCGGTAGTATAGTTGGCATTCGACCACTCATCCAGTTATTTGGAGCACCATTTTGGACTGCAATTGGAGAGCGCTTCAAAGCAGAGAGGATTGTCCTGATGTGTGGTGTATTAGCATGGCTGATCAAAGCCTTGATCCTTCTCTTCGTCACTCCTCACAAACAGCTGTGTGTCGAGAATTATACCAACTCTACTAACAACATAACAAGTGTGTATACAAGTGATTTATGGAGACCACATGAAAGCCAAAATCATGAATGGACACTCGTGACGAGTCTTGGAAAACCGAATCTTGTCCCGAAGAACAAACTCGTCCAAGTGGAAAACCCTGTGAAACCGGCCAAGAGATCACAGATGTCTAGACAGCAGAAAAGAAAGGAATTCGTTGATAAAACTATGAACAATCGACACCGGGATGAGATTTTTCGTTCCAAATATCCCTCGAGTAAACTTGGATCAGACCGCATCCTTTTTGAGACAATGAATTATAAGAGAACAATATCAAATGTTATTACGGTTAAGCATTATGTTCACAGCCTCAATCAGACCGTATCTTTCATAACACAAGTAGACGATGAAGAAATAACCTATATGTTTTGGATCTTTCTCATGATTATCGTTATAGCAGAATTCTTAGAATCCCCTACGTACGCGCTTTCTGACGCATCTCTTCTCAATAGGCTTGCAGACGATCGAAGCTACTATGGACGGATCAGATTATGGGGAGCGATAGGATGGGCCATCTCTACTGCTATAGTAGGATATCTTATCTTCAAGACTAGTTTTATTCTCTGTGGACTTTTAAAACCCAATTATGACGTTATATTTTACGTGTATTTTGGTTTTGTGTCTTGCGCTTTTATCTGTTCGTATTGGTTTTCTTTTAAAGAAAACGAAGAGCATCACAAATCATCATTCAGAAAAGCGCTGAACGAATTGTGTTGTGCCAAACATTGCGTTTTCATGATCGCGATCATATTCACTGGATGCTGCTATGGATTATTGTTCCATTTCGTTAACTGGTATATCGACGATAAAGGAGGGTCTGCGATAGTGATGGGAGCAGCTGGTGCAGCCCGTGAGCTGGGGGAGATGATTTTCTTCTTCTGTGGCGGAGTCTGCGTGAGAATCCTTGGCAATCTAAACACGATGGCCATTTGTCTGGTGTCATATTCGGCATGTTTCTACTGGTATTCTGTGATCGAGTCACCATGGCTGGCTGTACTTCTGGAAGCTCTTGATGGTTCGATCTATGGTCTGGTTTGGTCTAACAGTATCGACTACATGAGTACTATTGGTGCTCCGATAGGTGCCGTTGTAACTATGCAAGGTAAGAAACTATTGATTGAACATACAAGTTTGGTGAGAACGGGTGGTGTGCACTGCTAACGTCGTTGCTTCTCACCAATAAGACCCGGGTTGAATTCCCAGTGTCGTATCTGAGTGGAGGTTTTCTTTTGTTCTCTCCTGTGATTCTCCGATTTTCCTCCCTCCTCAAAACTTAATTTCTAAATTTCGGGCTTTCACCTAATATGGAACTTAAGGTGGCTGCCTACTTTTGAACGTTCGATTTGAGCCCACGATGTGCGCGTGCTCAAAAACCGCTGAAAAATCTACAAGATTTTATTGAAGAACCATACGCGTTTTGAGCTTCAACAGGGCAAAACCCTCAAATTTTGCACGGGACTCTATATTTTTTGATAGCTCATTCGAAAAAACTCCTAAAAATCAAGGTTATATCAACATTTTAGGAAAAGTTTAAATCAGGAACACGTGAAAAATAGATTTTTGTAGGGATTTTTGTTCGACTTTATGAGATTTTTTAAGAGCACCGAAACTGCAAAATATGACAAATCTGTATCTCTCTGTCTTTTTGTCGAAAATATCTATGTATTATTGTAGAAGGATTGACTAGCCTTCGTTCGTGCAATTATAGTCTGCAAATAACTATTATCTTATGAATCTTAAATTTTTTTCTAATCACTTCCGGTGGCGCAATTTTTACTCCAAAAGCTCGTGCGTAGGCTCCCATTAAATGCTGATTATCTCGAAAACGAGCTCGGGACACCCTATTTTTCTTTCCAGATTTGGAATCAGCATTAAATTTCAATTCGGAAAATCGAAGTTTTAAGAAAAGCTTAGATCAATTTCCAAAAGTAGGCAGTCACCTTAAGGTTCCAGCCTGTGATATAATGGTTAAAGCCAACAGATCTTAATTGTCTTGATTGCACTGTTAATGAGAAGGAGGAGGAACGTTTCCAGCATTGAAGACGCAACAAACACTGTCTTGTCAGTGATTTTCAATCTGCTTTCAAAAGCTATTGATAGCCAGACTATTCATTAGTTGGTCTCAGTAAGAATCTTTTAATATGTGTGCGGGTTTTTCCCCCAGGAATACTACAAGGTCTTTTCTATGGTCTTGGTAATGGTGGAGGAACAGTTCTCAGCGGTCACCTGTACGATAAACTAGGGCCACAGAAGACGTTTCAAATCTTCGCCAAGGCCTCGCTTGTAATTCTGTTTTGTCTTCTGCTGGGTTATCCATTTGCTAGCACAGGTTTTGCCAGGCAACGAGAGCACATCGGCGAGACAGAATACAAGCCAGTCGTTACGGATTCACACGAGGACGAGCCTGCAATCGGTAGTTCCAATGAGTCAGCAAAAAAAGAGCCTGCTCTTGATGAAAGTCAATAATTTGGAGTTATAAAATATATAATTATCTAATTTGGGGACTCAAACTCTCTGTAAACTACCCTGCTGACAGCGGAGTCTCCTTTTAATGGCCCCCGCCGAGCGAGAGAAATGAAAAGATGACTCTGCCAGCTTGCAGGGATACCTCGCGGAATGACAATGAAACAGCCGCCATGTTGGTTGATCTTACAAGAGAAGCTGGATGAACCGAACATTGTGACTTTGACGTAACTTGCACCCCAAGATTTTAAGTTATCACTGAATTTTTCAGCAAATTTCAAAAAGAGACAGGCAATGATGTCAGTGGTGCATTGAACTGGAAGCCTGAATCTAGGAATACAAAATGACTTTTTGATGTCGAATAACAAAATAAATCAGTATTTAATGTTTTCCGCACTCTTTTCTTAATATATTTAAATTCCAAATTTAGCCTCACATAGACGGTTATCAGTCTTTCTTTGAACTTAGGAAATGCGAATAATTAAAACTCGGATTATAATTTTAAATAATCTCATATAATTATATGATTCTAAATTAAGTCACAAAATAAAAGAAGCGCATTACATTCCCTGGCTTAAGCCCGCGCTTAATCAACATCCAAGTCCACGATGTCAACCTCAAATTGGTCATATAGCCTGTCTTTCGTTTTCTTTTATTATTATTATTATTATTATTATTATTATTATTATTATTATTATTATTATTATTATTATTATNTATTATTATTATTATTATTATATAACTTCTTCACTTGATGTAGTATTCCGTGTCGCTTATTATTCATTGAAAATATTAATTTTAAATTATAAAATTATATAACTTATAAATATGTTGTATAACAGATATACGAGGGCCGTAAGTAGATATATACATGTCAACAGTTATATGAATGGAATTATGATAAAATAAATCAAAAATTTAGAATTTCTCACTTCAAATATATTATCAGTTGAAGGGTATGTATACAGTCGCCATATAAGATTACCATGTGTTTTAATTAATTCTTAGGTGTCGTTTATCTCAATACAATTTTATTCCAAAGTTTTCCAGCAATTACGACCATGAAACATTAACCAATTGACGTGATGGATTTTGAACGATGTTTGATGTTTGCCCAGTTATGAAAACGCATAATTACTTGTAAAGCGCATTGTATTTTTCTTAAAATATTAAAGAACTGATTCAACTAGAAATTACTCACCATTTAACTCCTTCAATCAATATATCAAAGCACATGGCGGATTTTGGCATAGCCTGTTCGCTCCGGACGTCTGTCACGTCGCAGGACCTCAGCAACTCTCAGTCAAAATTTTATCGGTCATTTCAGGAATGTTGTCTTGCACTGTACTAGAACTGTGAGAATAGCGGTAGATCTGGCGGAGCTATACTTTTCCAAAGAACCACGATAGCGCAGGGGAGGGGGGCGAGTAGGTTGTGAAATACGAAAATGAGAAGAGCAACCAAGAGAGTACATCGAAACGATACTACAATACCCAATTATGCCGGGTAGCCGTATGACCATATTGCAGGTTGAATAGACCTAATCCACTGTTTTCCCATTTCAAGTCACTTGTCATTCCCTAGAGTATCATTTCTTTGTTTAATGGTTGAACACGAGAATACGCATGAATATGGATACAACTCAAATAATCTTATTCTCAAGGGAAACGACACGTGGTCTGAAATGGGCAAAACATTACGCCCAAGTGGATTTGGTCCTGTGAACTATGCTAATAAAAATTCTCACATATATACATACTGAAATTAAACCTGGAACAGTACTCCATTGTTTACACCTTATTTATTATCTTTGCACGAAATGTCATGTATCACCTGAGTGATAGGTTCTCTCATTTGTACAAGACACTAAACAAGATTAATAGACCGTTTTCTCAAGGTTGCGTGCGAATCCAAATTTAAGGAACTTAATGGTGATGATGATTAGTGATGATGCCTCCTTTTAAAATCATAAATTCTCCACTGAGCGCCACTGAGTATGTCATTGAAATATCTTTGCATTTCAAGCGTGATCAAGTTTACGAAAATAGCTTTTGTACAACGTTAATGCAGGTAGTATAGGGAGCGGGATGGGGGGTCTTGCCCGAAATCCGTAGATGGAAATGGGTTCGATGCCGAACTGAGACTCTCCTTGCACCTTTGAAAACATTGTGTACGTCTCCATGGTTAGCGCAATGTCCCTATCGACCACCAGAAATCAAGACAACCACGTAATATCACAAACGAAGTAAAAGATCTCGAGCACTATTTTTACTATTCCACAAGTTTGTTTGTACTATTCTTCGTTTGCAATAGACGTCATAGCCGCCGCCATGTTGGAAGAATTTGACAAAAGATTTTTCAATGAATTCTTTGTTATATCTTCCAACATGGCGGACATCCCTTTTGTTATTGTGCTCTCTTGGGATTGATTGGAAATCAAGAATAGCTAATCCCCAATACTAAGTCGCCAGTCATTAATTATCTCCTAGGAGATAAAGATTAACTAATCCTCTAAGAGGCACTATATTTTTTTATGATTCCCCCTTATTAGTGGTTGCTACTGAGTGATTCCCCTTTTGATTCCTGTCAATATTGACCTGATCCACCCAAGAGGCACTATATATCCTTATGATCCACCCTTATTAGTGGTTGCTACTGAGTGATTCCCCTTTGATTCTTGTCGATAATCAGTTCATCCCCCAAGAGGCGCTATATTTCTTTATGATCCCCCCTTATAAGTGATTGTTACTACCGAGTGATCTCTTCTTTGACCCCCATCAGTTGTCTGCTATGTGATCCCCCCACCCGGTCCCCCCACCCCTTTTAAAAACCCTCCGAACCTCTCGATCTTCGGGCGATAAATAACTAGTCCCCAAGATATGTGCTATTATAATGTTATAGCTCATTGGTATAATTTCATAATATATCGTAACAACCGTATATATTTTTAATTTGATAGTCATTATTTCATTGCCTATAATCTTTATAATTGTGAATTATTGACATAGTTGTTGTACAATTAACGTCAGATTTCCGGGTCTCTTTTGGTGTAGCAAGCTAGCTTTATTGAATTCTGGCTTGCCTCTGGGTTAGGGATTTTGTATTGCAGGGTATTGTTTAGCTCCAATTCTTTTATTGTCTTCGTGGCTCAGGTGTCCTGCAACACCATGGTATGTTGCGTTTTCCCCCCTCGACCTCGGAAGCATGTCTAAATTAATAATTACCCAATATATATTCATTTATTTTGTTCTTATTTAAAAAATATATGTTCCATTTTATTAATTGTTGCATATGTTGATATGGTGATCAGTGCCAGACGTTTATATTAGTTTCAAGCGATGTTTACGAAGATGTTGATGGCGGATCATGTTAGAGTCCATGTAGGTTGTAGTATAGTGGTTCACGTTTTCGTTGTCGATTTTAATATTGGTGCTGTGGTTTGTGTCAAGTTGGTGTCGATGTCGATGTCGATGTCGATGTCGATGTCGACGCTGACGTTGATGTTGGCGTTGACGTTGATGTTGATGTTGGCGTTGACGTTGATGTTGATATTAGTGTTGTGTCAGTGTTGATGTATCTGTTGATCATAAATGTTATTGTTGATGATGATGTCTCCAAATATATTAAAGGTATGAACCTCTTATCTGCTGCAGTTCCTTCCACAAAATAGTTGAGGAAATCATCCCTACCTTGATTACCTCTCATTAATCATATCATTACCCTAAGACTCTAGTACTTTAGTTGCTATTATGACTCAATCCTCATCTTCTGACACTTCGTCCTCCGAAATTTCGCCTACCAAATTTTTTCCTTCTTCGTTGTGCTGCGTCTTTGGCTTGCATAAATGCATGGTTATAACTACTAATAATATTACGATGCCAGCTATCCCGAAGGTAAAGAAGGTACCTCTGCTCCCAATCCAGCCATACAGTGTTCCGCCAATCAGGGCTCCTGCACCATTACCAATACCCCAGAACAGTGCATCAACAAAGCCTAAAATACAAAGGTATACACAAGACAGTCTATCATTTTATAATATCATTATATGTCGTCTTTAGCATATGGAAAATGCCGAAAAAGTAGGAAGATTGTTACCCTACGAACTTTTTGTTAAGTTTTTCTCCCTTAAAAATACGTCTAAACCTTTACTTTTTCTTTTTACTTTCAGTCGGCTCTATGAAGGGATTTTGATGGGTATAGCCCTTAGCATATCATATTAGTTTTCTCTTTTCTCTAGTATAAGTACGCCGGCGTTAATTAAATTTACCGTCCAAGTCTGCCGACCCATGCACACGCTTTAAAAAAAAAACAGAACAAAACCAGAGGTGCATAATGTCGATGAATTTTTTTCGAGTTTAAAATTTAAAATCCCTTTGGAAACTCAAAGATGTACTACAATTTGTTGTCAGAAGTTCTTCAATAACCGAATACAATTTTTTGCTTTAAGTCTTTTATTGATTTAATATTGAATATTATCATTTGCGTCCAAAGTAAAGAATGGGAAATAGCTATTTTGGAAGAAGTGACATGTAATTTCATTCGCTTTACTTATCAATACAAAAGTGAAATTAAATGATAAATGGCACTAGATAATTTGATATATATAAAGCTCAAAGGTAAATTCTATGAAAATATAAAACTCACCTTTTGCGATGGTTAGGACTTCGGGCGAAACGTTTAGGCATTTGATGTGTTTTTCACAGCTTCGCCACATCAGGCCAAACGCAGCTCCTTCGATAGCAACTACACCAACCACTACCCACAGATTCTTAATGATCCAATAGCAGAAGAAACAGATTGTGTAGGATATGAGTGAAAATATTATGACATTAATGCGGCCAATAATTGAAACAAAGGAATTGCCAAGGATATAGGACATCAAGACCATGGCCTCTCTCGTTGCACAGGCTGTTGCTATAACTAGAGTGCTTCCACCTAGGTCATCTATGTACCAGTTGAGGAATGGAGCCAAGAAACCTGAACATAAGCTGACGTACATCAAACCAATAAAGAAGGTAGTTCCTTCGAGGTCGAACAGTGTCTTTAAGGCTTTTTTACAAGTGTCGGATCCATTGTCAGCTTTTTGGTCGTAAATGTATTCAAACCACAAAGCATTGACGAATGCCATGCAAACGAAGCCGATACTAAAGTAGAAGACCACTACATAGTACAGTCTAGGGCTTCCACACAGCGCAAAAACTGATTTTGATACAATAGCACCAACGACTAAAACAGCAGTTATCCATCCTATAGATCCCGTTATTCGCATGTTGGAGGGATTCAATTGGTAGTGTTCACTTACGCGGCTGAGCACCGAACCATCGCCCAGCGTAAACGTAGGTGCTTGAAGAAAATCACAGATCACCACAAACATCAAAAAGATCAGAAAGAAGTAGTGAAGTTCGTCCTTGTCCACAGTTATGACGTAGTGGACGGTTGCATTCAAACTTGGATCGAATTTACGGGTTTCTTTGGAAACCTTTCTTGATGCTACTTGCTTTTCTTGAATAAGCATCAAATCATATTTTTCAATCGGTACTGCTGCTAATGGCTGGGAAGAAGGATGGGAGGCTTGAGGTTTCTTTGCTATATCTGATTCATCTCTTTCGGGTGGCAGTCCTTTAGAACCCTGGGTATCTATAGATCTAAATAGCATCTCGTTATCTCTTCCTTTAATCCAACCGCTAAGCGGACTTCCATTCCTCGGGCCATTGTTTTTCGCCACAATATGGTTCAAAACAGCTGGGGTGGTTGGCGTTGCTGTAGGTTTAACTGCTGCTGTAGGTTTGATAGGTACCTCTTTCCAATTATTCTTTTGCTCATCCTTCAGTGCGTCAGACAAAGACACAGACCTGATGTAGGAAAGGTTAGTGGTGGAGTTAACATAACTTTGTAAACAGTACTGTTTACGGGGCTGAACAGCAAGAATCAGCAACAGCTTAACCACGAATGACAAAACACCAGTCAGAAATACCAATTTCTGTACGTGCCATTTATTTGCAACTACGGTCCAGATGGGAGATACTAGACACTGGACGATGGGTGCCAAACCTAGAATGACACCAACATGATAAGGCTTTAAACCAAACTGCTTGAAGTAGAGAGGTAAATACGGTGCAATAGCGCCACACGACGCGTAAAGAAACAGACAAAACGCTTGAGAAGCAAGCAAGTCTGGATCCAGAAGACAAGACGAAATGTTTCGTAAACAAAGCGATACTTGCTTTGCCTTAGACTGGCTTAGTTTTTTCAGAATGGGGTCATTTTCGATGGCTTCTTCTTCTTCTGTTGCTTTCATAACGATGGGGATCTTTTCACATAGCTAAACGTCTCAGGTTAACTGAAGCAGTCAGAAGTCAGAACAAAATGCAAATAGCTAAAGCGATAATGGATTAGCATACGAGCGAGCCATTTCTGTTTCAGTCTCTAACAAGTGTCACTCATCCATGCATAGCTGGTCTTTTGTTTCTTCACTTGGAAACCGTTCGTCCAAAACCGAAAAATAATAAATTTGCCATAAACTTTTTATGAATCTTTAACATTAACTGAATAAATTCGAATTTATTGGTCATATCTTAACGTAGAAAACCTTTTTGACCAAGTTTAATCCAGAAAAACTCGAGTTATTTTTCTAATATCACTAAGGAGGATATATTGACAATGCGTGCAGCTTATTTTCTGAATATTGTTTTCTGAATACTAAATGTTACGCCAAGGGGCAGATGTGGGTGAGAATGGCACGAATGCTCAGTATGGCGCTAAATACCGAGTTAAGCAAATAGGATAAGGAATCCTTTTGTCCCGTCCTCAATAGTTTTCTGGCCAATTATGGTCACCCCAAACCGGTGGGTAGGGGGATAATTTTAAAAGGGTTTACGTGCAGTGCCGAAAATTTTATAAAATTTTTAAAACCTTCATAAGTTAAAGACGCATCACTCAAATCAAGAAATATTTTACCATTCAACTATTTACTACATGTAGAATCAGTACTGAAAGTATTGTCGAAGGAGTTAGTTGCACTTGAACCATGGTTACGGCAGAGATATGGAATCAGATCTTCAAGTCCCGAGAAGACCTTTTCCCCGAAAGTATTTGCCGATAATCAAAAGGGAAAATGCTTTCATTTTGGTTTTGGATGTAGTGAGTACAGTTTTTATACCTTTCCCTTTCTAGTCTTTTTTATTCATTTCATTCTTTTTTTTTTTTTTTTTTTTTTTTTTTTTTTTTTTTTTTTTTTTTTTTTTTTTTTTTTTTTTTTCATTACGTAGTTTTGTTTCATTTCAGTTTTTTGTTTTCATTTCATCGTTTTTTTGTTTTTTTATTTTGCTTCAATTTTTTGTTTCGTCGTATAATTTTGTTTCATTTCAATTTTTTGTTTCATTTCATCGTTTTGTTTTGCTTCAAATTTTTTTTCATTACATAGTTTTGTTTCATTTCAGTTTTTAGTTCTCATTTCATCGTTTTTTGTTTGTTGCTTTTTTATATTTTTTTGCTTCAATTTTTTGTTTCGTATAATTTTGTTTCATTTCAAAAAAAATCGTTTCATTTCATTGTTTGATTTCATAATTTTGTTTCGTTTCATTTCATCATTTTTTGTTTCATTTTATAACTTTGTTTCATTAATTTGTTTATTTGCGTATTTAATTTCAAGTTTGGAGCTTGCGTCAATGTTGCAAGGTATTTCAGATTACATAAAAGTAGAAAGTGGCAGCATACGTATCAAAGAATTAAATTGGTATTGATAATACTAATCAAATAATTACGGTGTTTGTTCCGAAGCTACACAATATTCCACCTTGTCTGTCGTACTCATCAAAGGTTTGCTTCGTTCCCCATCATCTTTTTACCAATTCAAAAATCATTGTTTTAAAACATCATGTGAAAATCATTTTTATTTCAATAACCGGGTTATTATATCTTTTGAACTTTTCACATGGCACATGGCACATGGCACATGGCTCACTTGTTATGCTACTGACAAACTAATAACAAAAATGATGATACTTACAACTAAAGTTTGATTGAAAAGGTCATTTACTTCCTTTTTTATCTACGACAATTTAACAAAGAGGACCTGCTTTCGCTAGTCAAGGCATAAGCACAACTGCGTATATGACTGCGCCGTAAAGGCAACTTTGCTGCGATTCAATGGCTAGCGTGGATGCAGCCCAACTTTACTTCTGGTTAACCAGAGTTAAAGTTGGGCTGCAATCTGATCACTTGCGCTTCCACCTGCGTTGCTAACGTTAAAACTGGGATTAAGTTATCAATGGTAAACGATACACTAAATATGTCTGAGTCCTAGTTCTGAGTCAAACTTATGTCAAAATCACTTGTAGTGGGACAGGGTTCTTGCGGAAGGATCTGTAGCTTCGGTCCATCGAGGCATCCACAAATATGGAATCAGATTTTCGTGTCCTGAAAAGGACTCTTCAAATATTTGCCGATAATAGAAGGCCTCTTTGGTTTTGGGTGTATTGAATGGGTACAGTTCCTCTGCCTTGGAGAGAGCTTCATCTGGGACTTGTGTTGAAACATGCTTTTGAAGAATCTCAAACCACGACTTGCCAGGTTCTGTTCCAGAAACTCCATCACTAAAAGCCTCTTTTGGCCTCCAAAGAATGTCTTTGGGCAGCAGATTAGTGCTGTCAAACGCACTTCGTAACAACCATTTCTCCATCCCATCTTGTGGCTGTCGTAGCTCCGCTGGTATGGAAAGAATGTAGGACGTGAAGTCAACATCAAGAAAAGGCACTCGTATTTCCAATCCATGCACCGCTGTGGAACGGTCACTTCTGAGCACGTCAAAAGCATAGAGGTCTTCAAGAAGACGTCTACTCTCTTTATCTGCTTGTTCGGCAGATGGAGCTTTGTGGAAGTAGATGTAGCCTTGACAAAGCTCGTCTGATCCCTCCCCAGAATACACCACCACTGTGTCTGTCTTCTCTTTTATGTATTTGGCAACCAAGTACATCCCGACAGAAGCACGAATGGTGGTTATGTCGTACGATTCCAAGGCATATATCACGTCTCTCAACGCATCGATTCCTTCTTGGGCGCTGAAAGTAACTTCATGATGCTCGCTACCAATGTGGGCCGCTACCTTGCGTGCAGCCAATATATCGGTACTTCCTTCCATTCCTATTGAGAAGGTCTGGATTGGATAGTCAATACCAGATTCTTTCGCCAGTTTTGTGAGTAGTGAGGCTACTAAACTGGAGTCCAGTCCACCTGATAGAAGACACCCAATACGCCGGTCAGCCATCAAACGCTTCCTTACTGCCTCTGTAAACAACTGGCGTATATTTTCCTGGGCGTCACTTGAGGTGGGTGCTACTCTTGTATCAAATACCGGTCTTTTCCCAATGAAAGTGTATGGGCCTTTTTCTATCAGGGTCACTGATCCATTGGGGCTTAGATCATACGAGGCATAATGACCTGGTGGGAACACGTCTAACACCATCTTGTGTCCGTTACTCGCAATGTGCCTCTCGACAGGAACCAGTGACTTGATCTCAGAGCACAGAGCTAAGACACCTTTCTTGTTTGCTTTTCCTTCCAACGTGAACATGGGACGAACGCCAAACGTGTCTCTTCCAAGATGAATTTGTTTTTTCTTGGTGTCAATGATGCAGAAAGCAAACACCCCATCTAGCATTTGGGCAGTCTTTTCTGCACCAAACTTGTCGTACAGATGAAGGATTACCTCACCATCACACTTGGTCATCACGTCGAAGCCATACTTCTCTTCAGTGGCTTTGTGGTTGTAGATTTCTCCGTTATAGATAAGGTACAAGTGAGGCAACTTCTTGACTCTCATTGGCTGCATACCATATAGATCATCCACTACAGCTAGACGGTGGAACACAAGACAACAGTCTTGAAAATGTGGGATGGTCTCCATACGAAAACAGTCGGGACCACGGCCAGAGATGTTCATGGCAAACGATGCATACTTGGGGTAGTCAGGAATACCAAAAATGGCCCAGATCCCACACATGATGGCTTATGGCTGTTGGGATTGAAGAATTGTTTCTGTAAATACATGAAAGAAAAGACATTTTAATTTAGGGGTGGGATTGATTGCAAAGAAAAGAGGATGTTACACTTTTCCATAATGGACACACAAGAAATCATAACTTTCATACAAGAGGGGGGTTGCAATTTCTTGAAGATCATGTATTCTAGTATCAGGATGTTCATTCCAACATCCATGACATCCTTGGATCCTCTTGAAAACTTACTACCCTCTAGTACAACTTATATAAACAACTCATATTTTACAACCATCACTTCCCATTAGGAGCTCTTCCGTGAGGTTCCGCGTGCACTACTACCAGTACATTCTATATTTACAGCATACAATACTCAACTCACATGTTGATTTTTATGGAAGGACATAACTGCAGAACCCAGAGAAAACCTTTGAGCAAGACTCACACACATACATACATACATACTTTTATTCGTTAAAGCAGGTTAGCTAAACTACGCAGCCA